TCCATATATACCTCGAGCATGTCGCCAATCTGTTTGTTGAACACTTTGTTCATCATGCGTTGGTAAGTTGCACCGGCGTTCTTCAGTCCGAAGGGCATTACGTTGTAGTAATAGTTGCCCGAGCTGGTCATGAACGCTGTGCAGCGTTTGTCGCCCAGAGCCATTGGGATTTGATTGTATCCCGAGTAGGCGTCCATGAACGACAAAGTCTTGTAGCTGGCCGAGTTGTCGACCAGCATGTCAATGTTAGGTAGAGGAAAAGCATCCTTCGGGCAAGCCCGGTTGAGGTCGGTATAGTTAACACACATTCTCCATTTTCCATTATTCTTTTTAACAAGTACAACATTTGACAGCCAGGTAGAGTACCGGGCTTCAGAAATAAAATTTGCCTCTAGGAGGTCTTTTACAGCTTTTTCAGCAGCCTCCGTTTTTTCTGGAGACTGCCTACGCCTACGTTGTACTACGGCCTTGGCGGCTGGATCAATGGCGAGGTGATGACAGGCGACCTCAGGGTCGAGTCCGGGCATCTCTGCAGCACTCCAGGCGAAGAGATCAGCATTCTCGCGCAGACAGGCCTTGATTTGCTTCCTGGCCAAGTCGGGGAGGTCTTTGCCAATCTTCACTCCCTTGGTCGGGTCTGCTCCGAGGGGAACGAGTTCAAAATCGCCGTCCGGAATAGGTCGGAGTGGGATTTGCTCGCTGCTGGATGGCTCGTCTTGGTCGAAGCGGGCGTCGAGGGCTATGGAGTCGACCTTTGGTGGAGCCTTCTGAACTTCTACCTCGGGGGATGCTCTGTCGGGCTCTTGCTTTGTCTTCTTGGTGGGTCTGGTCCCCACGTCGACGGTATCCCGTCCCTTGGAAGCGGCGTTGAAGCACCTGCGGGCAGCGACGAGGTCTCCCTGGATGGTGGCTACCCTTGCCCTTTTGGTATAGAACTTCATTTTTAAATGGACAGTTGAGGGCACCGCTGTCAGCTCCGCCAATGTCGGCCTCCCCAAGATGCAATTGTATAGGGACGGGCAGTCAATGACGAGGAAGCGGACCTTGACCTGTCTTGTAGCCGTTCCTTCCCCGAACGTCACCAGGAGCTCGACATAACCCCAAGGTTTGGAAGTCGAGCCGTTGAAGCCTTGAAGATCTGAACCCACACACGGAGAGAGGTGTGAGTCGTCCAGTTGCAAGGTCCGGAACAGCTGGCTGTACATCACGTCGACGGAACTCCCTTCGTCGACCAGGATGCGATGCACGTCAAAATTGGCCATCTTTGCCCTTATCAGCAAGGGGATGACTGCGTTCGGGGCTCCGCCGGGGAGCTCTTCTAGGTAGAAGGTGATGGGCTCCGATCTGCCCTTCACCCTTTCGAACGTCACAGTTTGTGGAGGAGCTGTGTCGACCAGTTCGTCCAACTTCCTCTTGGCTGAATTGATGGTGAGGTCGTTGAACCCGCCCCCGCTGATGACCATGGCGGAGGGGAAGTATTCCCACCTGCTGTGTGTTGTCAGGGGCTCCTGCAGGAGCTCGGGAATTTCGAAATCCTCGGGCCTGGTTACCGAGAAGGCGGTCTGGATTGGTACCGACTCGTCAGATGGTCGGGCATCCTCTTCGGGCTCCTTAGCTTCGTGGGCGTCATGACGGGGAGCGTCGTTTCGCCTGTATTGTGCGAGCCTCCCTCCCTTGATGAGGGTTTCAATGGCGTCCTTGAGGTGGACGCAGTCCTCCGTCAAATGACCATGACTCCTATGGTATTGACAGTACTTATTTTTGTCTACCCCTGGCTTGGCGGGAGCAGGTCGGGGACGCTTGACGCCACCGTCTCTGAAATCTGTGCTAGCACACTCCGCCAAAATACGCTCGCGGGAAGCCGTGAGCAGAGTGTACTCAGTGAAACGGCCCGATGGGCCCCTTTGTTCCCGGACTTCCCGGGGTCGATCTTCTTTCCTTTTCTCCCCGGTACGTCGGGGAGGAGGGTCTTGTCGCGAGCTGCTGCTATGATTGGGAGCGCGAGCCCTGGAGTCTCGTGCCCTGTTGGCAGTTTCTCTCTCCTCGTAGTCCATGTATGCTCGGGCTTTGTCGAGGAGAGCGTCAAAAGTTGCAGGTGGCTCAATACCCACAGCTTTTCTGAATTCTGTGCCGGGGAGGAGGCCCCTCTCCAGCAAATATCTTTTCATATGGTCCGCGCAGGGGACCTGTATTGCTTCCCGGTTGAAGCGGTTGATGAATTCCCTCAAGGTTTCATCCTGTCTTTGGATGATGGCCTCGAGGGCCGCCTCGGTCTTCGGGTGGCGCCGAGAAGCTGTGAAGGAACTGATGAACTGGTTCTTCAGGTTCCGCCACGAGGTAATTGAGCCCGGGGCGAGTCCTTTATACCAGTCCATGGCCGCCTTCCTGAGAGTTGTGGGGAAGAGACGACACTTGATGGGCCCCCCGACATTATGATAGTGGAGCATGGCTTCGAACCCGTCAATATGGTCGACCGGGTCTGCTACACCGTCATACTCCTTCAGATGTGGGGGCTTCTCCATGCCCGGGGGGATAGGTGCATCCATGATGGCCTGCGACAGGGGACCGCGAGGGTCGTCCTCGTCGCTCCTCTCCGGAGAAAGAGAAGGGGTCCTGTAGTTATGTCTGGCACGATGATCGTGCTGAGATTCCCTCGAGCGTGATGCTCGGTGGTTGAAGGTCACACGCCCGTCTCCGGGGTGCCTCTTGTCGTGCCTTGATGGGTCGCGACTGGGTTCCCCGGCTGGAGTAGCGGGCTGTCTCTCATAGTTGGGCCGCCTCTGCTTTGGTCGGGGAGAGGGGCTCCTGGAGTTCTCCCTGTAGTGTCTCCGCGGGGGAGAAGGGTGTCGAACTTCTTCGACCCGAGGAGGTGGAGAAGGTGGCCTCTGATGCCTCCTCGGGGATCGTCGGTCATTTTCGAGTGCCCTTAGTCTTTCTCCTTGGGAGAATATGAGATAATTTGTCTGGTTGATGGCCGCGAACAGTGCCTGAGTCGTGGCATCTGCCCCGGGAGGAACTGGGACTTCGTAGAACCGGGCAGCTCTGTGATGGGCGAGAGCTACCGGGTCGTCCTCGAGTGCTGGAGGGGTCGTCGAGGATGACGCAGTATTCCCGTCCCTGCGGGAGGAAGGTCCAGGGGCGGTTGTCACAGGGATGGCATTGTGGCCGGGATCACCGGGATTGTCGAGGTGTCCGTTCTTGTCCGCGGGGCCGTTATTAGTGTCAGCGACACGGACGGGCTGCTCGTCGTGAGCTGGATCAGCCATAACAGGTAGTTGAATTGAGCTTTGGTCCTTAGAATTGTTCGTTAGACGGGGAAGCTGTTTCCCACAGACGGCGCCACTGATCTGACCTGATCAGAAATGGACCGTCACGGCTGGCTCCGAGCAGAAAGCTTTTTTGAACGAGGTGGGGGGGGGGGGGGTACCTGCAAGACACTCCGATGCTGAAGTAAGTGGGAGTACGAGCAGATAATAGCAAGTTGAGGTTAGAATGATGAATACCTGACCCTCTGGAAACAGAGGGTATTTATAGCCCCCAGCGCTGGGCCAAGGTTCCTTCATTGGGCCGGGCGGATTTGGCCCAATGGAGGAACTGCCAGGTTCTACGTGGGTAGTGGGGACCCGCACGTGGTCCCCTTCCTGGATGTTCTGCGTGAAGTGCGGGCGGACGAAGACGCGGTCTTTCCGGAGTATCGTTGGGGGAACGGTGGACTGAGTCTGCCCTAGTTGGGATGCTCGAGACAACGTCGAGCTGGACAGCAGGGTGTCGAGCCGGACGTCAGGACGTGGAGCCGGACGGCAGGGGTCGGGCTGGACGTCAGGACGTGGAGCTGGACGGCAGGGCGTCGAGCTGGACGTCAAGAGGTGGAGCTGGACCTCATCACGTGGATTTGGACAGCGGAATGTCGAGCTGGACATAAGGATGTCGGGCACGGATGTGACCCCTTTGCTCGGCGTGGTCCTCAATAAGTCCCTATGGACTGGACCTTAGTAATGCTCTTGGGCCTGTCGGGTCCAGTCCAGAACAGAAGCATTCATGTCTTCCTTCTCACTTTCAATACAAAATTATTTGAATATCATAATACAAATCTACAATGTTGTTAACATTTAAAAAAACCCGTTCTTATTTTTTGGTTAATGACTATATCTAATAAAATTCTTTATTCTAACAATTACTCTTTTATTCTTTTCAATGCACTTTTCTTCTGCAGTGTCACATACTGTTAAGACATTTTTTTGACTATTTCTTTTGCATTTTCATTTTATATTTATACATTCTTATTATATATATATATATATCAACAATAATATATCTACATTTTTATCTAAATTTTTTAATTTATAGTTCTTATGATAAACATTCTTCAATCACAAAATTAAACTATATCTATTACGTTATTATTACAATTTTTTTTCACCGTAAGAAAAATCCTACCCGTCCAAAAAACCTATTTCTAAATATTGTATCTTTAGACTTCATTAATAAATTACTTTTTTTTTGTTTTATAAAAACATTGCTCCCTGTTACTGAGCCACGCCGGCACGTGCACTAGTAGCACTACGAACCCACACACAAAAAAAATAAATAAATCAAAAACCTCATTTTCAAAACACGGTATGCGCACTGCACTTCCCGGCTTATCTTATTCCTCACCTCATTACACAAAATCATTCCTTATTATTACCATCATTAAGAGAGTTTACTGTGCAGTATTCCTCACACTCTCTCGAGCAAAACAAGTCACAATCACTCACTACTCACTATTTTAGCTTAAATCACCATAATAATCTCTTCACAACACAAAGAGCAAAAACACTTCATTATTTTATTCATTATTAATCTAGAGAGAGAAACAAATTCAAGAAGAAGAAAAATAAATAGAAACAAACAAAACGATTCCGAGTTTTCTTTCTCTCTCTAAATCCACCACTTTCAAATTCACATTCTGTTTCGCTGTGAGGGTTTTGGTTTTGGTTCGGCACTGTTTAGATCGGAGAATGGAGGAAATTTTTGGCGACGGAGGAGGAGTTGCGACGCCGGTGCCGCTTTCGGTTTCGGGATCTTTCCGAGAAGGGAGAGGCTCGTCGAGGAGACGCGGCTCGGCTAGACAGCCGAGCATGGAGGCGGATGAGTTCATGAATTTGTTGCACGGTTCGGATCCGGTGAAGGTGGAACTTAATCGGCTTGAGAATGAAGTTCGAGGTGTGGAAATGGAAATGAAAATGCTGCTCGATCTGAAAGTTCTTGACCTGGAGTTTTTTTTTTTTTTTTGAAAATTTAATCTAAATTTTTGAATGTGTTGATTTTTTTTGTTGCAGATAAGGATAGAGAGTTATCAGAAGCACAAGCTGAGATTAAAGCGTTGAGGCATTCTGAACGATTAAGAGAAAAGGCAGTTGAAGAGGTTACCTCTAATTTCTCAATTTTTTGGTGTTATTTTGTTTTTAATGTTCTATTCAAGTTTGTTACCATGGGTTATTCATTTACTTGTTATGTTATGCTATTTTATTCATTACTAGTTATTGCAAATTTACATGTTGGTCATGGTTTGAGAGGAATTAAGTAAGTAGGGGTGCTAATTCGAACGTGCGACATCCCACTTATTCACCTTTAATCGGTGAAATTCTAGCCACTAGCCTTCTTGATAAAAAATGATACTATTGTTTTATTTTCTAGTGAGTTTATATTATTGGTGCGGTTACAATGCTTAAACTTTGAAGTTGCAGCAGAAAAGTTGGATGAATGTTTTCCATGTGAGGAGGGTGTTGCATAGGTGAAGAAGCTCCTTTTGGTCGTTTGCATTGATAATGCCATTCTACCTTTCACATTTTTGCACAATTTCTCTATAAGTTTCTCTTTTTTCTTTTGAAAGAAACCGTCTCGGTGAAATTGGTTGACTTGACTATATAAAGGAAATTGATATGCCATTGTTCGGTTGACTTGAATATATAAAGAAAATTGATATGCCAAAGGTTATTGTAATGCATAATATATTATGAAAGTAATTAACTTTTTCTTTTCATTTGATACTCCATATTTTTTAATTAGTGTTCTTTGGAAAAACATTTATTTTATTACTCCCTCATTTTCTTTTTATATTCAGCTTTATTTAACATTTTCTATTTTATTTTATCACCAATTTAAGGAATAAAATCCTACCAAGCATTGATTAAACATTTCTAACATTACACTTAATATTATTAAGTGAAAGAGAATATTATTAGAGTGATATTAATATTGAGTAGTTAAATTATTCGGTAAAGTTGGGACATGGAGATGAGGTCTGGGAGCACATTACCTTTGCTTAAGGAAAACTAAGAGAGACTATAGGGAATGCAACTATAGCAAAAGACACACAAGTCCCTAGTTTAGAGGTGAAAATTGGAGAGCGTATCATCCTACCACAAGTCTCTCTATTTACCTTCTGTCCATTATACATAATGATAGAGAATTATACCACAAGCCTCTCGGTTTTAAGTACCTTCTGTCCATTATAATTTTTACATAATGCTATAGAGATACATACCACAAGTGTCTCGGTTTTAAGTACCTTTTGTCCATTATACATAATGGTTTCAAGAGATATACCATAAGTTTCTCTGTTTAAGGTACCTTTTGTGCATTATACACAGTGATAGAGAGATAGAACAATATGTAAATCATAAGATACAAGCAGGGTTGAAAAAAAGATGAAGAAATGAAAAGCTTTAATATGTGGCAGAAAAGTATTACTCCAACTTAAAAGAAAAATTTACTGCACAACTGTAAAACCACCTAAATATGATTTATTGAATGTTGAGCGATAGTAAGCTTGATGCTATTGAGATGAGAATGTTATGATAGATGAATGAAATCATTAAAGTTAAAGTTGGGATAACTTTTATACTCTCAAAAAGATGACTGAGTTTCGTCTTTGGTGGTTTGGACATGTGTAGTGCAGACTCGGAAAAGCACTAGCAAGGAGGGCGGGGTAGATTGCATGGAGGATAGTTCAACTTCAATAATTAGAGTAGAGGAAAGCTATGAAGCACGGACACCTCTAGAAGTAGGCGTGTTGCGGTGTCCGACACGTGTCGGTGTCCGACACTTGTATGACACTCGTACGACACATGTCGGAATAGTCAAACAAGTGTCGGAAAAGTCAAACAAGTGTCCCCCAAAAATTGGTCTTTTTTCTTGCTTCGACACATTTGGAATCGGTGTCTAATACCCATATGACACTCATACAACATGTGTCCGATAATTCAGACAAGTTTTCTTTAAAAAAGTTGTTTTTATTTTCCTCAACACACTTTATACATTTTTTTGCCAAATATCACGCATGATTAGAAGGGTTAAACATGTAATGAAGCAATGTTATCGATCAAGTATTAAAGACATTAATTTTGATTAGAATATTTTTAACTCTTTTGATATTAGATGAATAAATGAAACTCAAATACTATAACATATATAGCGGTGTCGGTGTCCTAGATTTTTGACATATCGGTGTCGGAGTGTCGGTGTCGGTGTCGTGTTGCGGTGTCCGTGTCAGAGTCTGTATATCATAGGAGGAAAGACATGAAAAACTACAAAAAAAACCATTAGAAAAGATTAGATTTAAATGGTCTATCATTGAACTTGATTCATGGCAAGACATTATGGTGTTGTTTGATCTAAATAGCGGACTTCATCTTGTTCAAAAAGACTCGGGTTTTGTATTTTTCGTTTACTAATTTGCCAGACTCCTTAATTTTGTTTTATTTTTATTAGTTTTTCAGGATACTTTATCCCTTGTACAGTTTGTTTTTTATATGGCATTCTATATGTTTGTTTTTTATATGGCACTCTGTATGTTCTCTCATAATTTGTGATAGGTACCATAATTTTTTTCTGCCTTGTGGCTATTTTGTTCCAAATTTCACCCCACCCTTTCACCTTCTCTACTTGGCCTAGATAAGGGGTCTATCAATTCTACATTTGTGTTGACTTCTTGATAATATCAATATTTCCTTTAATGGTTTTGTTTTGTTGTCTACTACATGTGAAGTCTTGACATGCAGTATTTTTGTTGTCTGATAATGATTACTACTTTATAGGCTTAATTAATCCTTAATCAAAATTGGAAATGGGAAAATTATTATTAACAATAGTGGTACTATTGACCATTTTACTACTGTTCCATATGGGATTTGAACTCCGTTCCTTGAGGTTACAAAGTCAGGCTCTTACCTGGGTTGACAGAGGTTACAAACTCAGGCTCTTACCTGGGTTGACAGAGGTTACAAACTCAGGCTCTTACCTGGGTTGACACCTCATGGACTTTATACTTAATCCTGAATATATAGGGCAATCAGGAAACAGATTACAATGATATCTAAGTAATATGGAAACTAATCCTAAGTAATAATCTAAGATACTCTAAGATTATTAAACGATCTTAGGAAATAAACTTAGGTACTCTGATATATTAGAAGTTATATTATAAGATACTACCTTGGGTCCTTATTATAACAAACAAAATCCTAATTCACTAAGGCCAAAAAAAACATCTTGGAAATAGTTGATTTCATTTAATACTCCTATAAGTTTAATTTTATTCCACGAATACCCTATATTAAGTACTCCTAATCCCACCAACTTATTTCAAATATTCTCTCAAAAAATAAGGGTAAAATGGAATTTAGCATTTAATACATTTGAAAATGGTTAAACAGCAACTTAACAAGGGTACTTCAAATCCCACGAACATTCCAAAACCAACAAAACTGAATGTGTTATAGCAGCAACTTACAATCAGAAATTAGTTGCTAAACCAAAATCAGAATTTTCATTTCAACCCCAAATTAGTTCCCAATTTAGCCACAGCAAATATAGGTGTCAAAAGACAGAACACATCAACAACAGAGACACCAAAGCAGGGCAGCAGAGATACCGACAAACAATGTCAAGTGCAGCAACAACTCAAGAACACAGAATATTGACGGGGGCAAATCACAAAGGATCGGGTCAGACTCTAGGTACCATGTTGAAGTATGTGTTTTAGATAAAATATAAAGGGGAAATAATAAGGGCTTGAATAGTATAATTTATCGACATTAACTTGATACAAAAGATTAAACACTAATCCTATATATAGCGATATAAGACTCCTACTCCTAAATAAATAGGGAAATCAGGAAACAAATCAAAATGATATCTAAGTAACATGGAAGCTAATACTAAGAAATAATCTAAGGTATTTTAATTTTTAAGATTATAAAATGATCTTAGAAAATAAACTAAGGCACTCTGATATAATATCAAATATATTATGAAATATTTCATACATTCTTACAAATCATTCCTTGCATTATTTTATATCCGTTTATTTGACATTGAGCTTTTGCCTCTATTATGCGCTAACTTAATCATGTTTCTTATGCCAATTTTTGCAATTTCTTCACTGTTTTGTTGAATGCTTTGTGTCTACTTGAAATGTAACTTATCTCACTTTTTGTTTGTATTTTAGCTGTCTGAAGAGCTGTCAAAGGTTGATGGGAAGCTAAAGTTATCAGAGTCTCTATTAGAAAGCAGAGTATTGCTCTGAACCTTTATCAACTTCAATAATTATTTGTTTTCCTAGTTTGCATAAATTTTAACTAAATTGAATATTTCTGACAGAATCTTGAAATAAAGAAAATCAATGATGAAAAGAAAGCATCAATGGCAGCTCAGTTTGCAGCAGAAGCTACTCTTCGAAGGGTTCATGCTGCTCAAAAGGATGATGACATGCCTCCGATAGAAGCAATTCTTGCCCCTTTGGAGGCTGAACTAAAACTTGCTCGGCAAGAGGTATTTCCTTGTTATCGGAAGTTATATTCCAATACCTTGAATGAAAGAATTATTCGAGGGGCCGAATCTGGCATGTAACTAATGATTTTTGGCTTTATTCTCCTGTATATTCCCTACAGATTGCTAAACTACAAGATGACAACAGAGCTTTAGACCGTCTTACCAAATCCAAAGAAGCTGCACTACTTGAAGCTGAAAGGACTGTTCAGTTTGCCTTGGCTAAGGCCTCCATGGTGGATGATCTCCAAAACAAAAATCAAGAGCTGATGAAGCAGATTGAGATTTGCCAGGTATCATAATCTTGGATGATTTTTATTATTTCCCAGTACACTAGAACTGTAATTATGTAACTTCTAATGGTGGTTTCATCATCACTTCTCTCAGGAAGAAAACAAAATTTTGGACAGAATGCATAGACAAAAGGTGGCAGAGGTTGAAAAGCTCACCCAAACTGTGAGGGAACTAGAAGAGTCGGTCCTTGCCGGTGGTGCAGCAGCAAATGCAGTGAGAGATTATCAACGGAAAGTTCAAGAAATGAATGTAATTTATTTAAGTCTTCAGCTAGTTTGATCCCCCGGTTGCTTTATTGAATATAGCATTAACTTTTACATGATTTGTTTCACATTCTTTAGGAAGAAAGAAAAACTCTTAATAGGGAATTGGGCCGTGCCAAGGTAACAGCAAACAGAGTAGCTGTTGTGGTTGCAAATGAATGGAAAGATGCTAATGATAAAGTCATGCCTGTCAAACAATGGCTTGAAGAACGACGATTCTTGCAGGTATTTTTTGTTTGTACTTTGCTTATTTGTCTTTAGTGGCTGTGTTGAGCTTTTATTACTTTTTCATGTCTTCCTCGTTCAGTCTTTGTTATAAATTGCCCTGTATTTGTCTTCACTTTAATACAGTTTATACTAATTACTGTACTGCATTCTTGTAGGGGGAAATGCAGCAACTCCGTGATAAGCTTGCTATAGCTGAGCGCACTTCAAAATCTGAAGCACAGTTGAAAGTAATAATCTGGTTCCTATCTGTTAAACTAGGAAACTAGTTCATAGATTATTTAAGGTAATATTTTTTTACAATTTTCAGGAAAAATATCAATTACGGCTTAAAGTGCTAGAGGAGAGTTTGAGGGGCAATTCTAGCAGCAGTAGTCGCAGCACTATAGAGGGAAGAAGTATGAACAATGGTTATTCTCGTCGCCAATCACTGGGTGGAGCTGATAATATCTCAAAACTAACCTCTAACGGGTTCTTGCCTAAGAGAGCACCATCCCCTCAACTCAGGTCATCCCTATCATCTAGCACGATATTGAGGCATGCTAAAGGAACATCTAAATCTTTTGATGGTGGCTCAAGGACATTGGACAGGAGTAAAACGTTACTGAGTGGAGGAGCACCTCAAACTCAAAGTTACTCATTCAACCAATCTCTTGAAGAAACCAAAGAGAGAGACGCTGATGATAATTGGAAAGGAAGTTCAGGTGATAAGCCAAATGACTTCCCACCAGGGGATACAGATGATAGTATTCCAAGTGTTTTATATGACCTCTTGCAGAAAGAAGTTATTGCCTTGAGGAAAGCTGGTCATGAGAAAGATCAAAGCCTAAAAGACAAAGATGATGCCATTGAGGTTAGTGTTTAGTTTATTATTTGTGTTTTTGGAAATTAATTGCTGACATCTTACTTATAAATGATAATTGCTAATCGTATCCAATTGTCATTATCTGTCAGATGTTAGCAAAGAAAGTAGATACATTAACCAAAGCCATGGAAGTTGAAGCAAAGAAGATGAGAAGAGAAGTAGCTGCCATGGAAAAGGAGGTAGCTGCTATGCGTGTCGAGAAAGTACAAGAGAACAGAGCAAAGCGGTTCAGCAATTTAAAGGGTCCTGTAAACAGTGCTCAAAATCAGCTAATTTCTGGAAGGTAAAATTATGTTATTGTTATTTATGGGGTCTCCTTATTCATGTAGTTATTGGCATATTACTCATTCTGAATCTATACTCAGCAGTATACTAATGCATTTTGCTTTCTTTCACCTTCCCCTTTACATTTTTTCCCTTTTGTTTTTCACCCTTGTAATTGAATCTTCAATTTATACTTGGACAGAAATGTGACACGGGGAGGATTAACACGCAGCACTCAATAACAAGTTTATTATGGCGACACTTGGAAGTATATTAAGTAAAATCTCATAGACATCATTCTTCCGCTCTTCTCTGTTTTTATCCTTTTGTTTTTCTTGTTCAATTGATTACAAGAAGATTGTATCTGGCACGCCAAGAACCAGTTTCTAATGCTGCCCATGGATGAGGGACAAGAAAACAATTTTAGGAATTGATATGCATCTGACCTAGACTGCTTCATCTTTGCTTAGAGAGTTCGGCTAAGAAGGAAGACATTGGAAGACAATTAACCGGATTTAACCTTTCTGCTTTTCTTTGAGTGGTTGTGTGTTTGTATAGGTAACTTTCTCCTTTAACTCCTTTTTGCAGTTTTTATCTGCAATACATAGATATTGTGATTGCAATGATTCAGGCTTCTTAATATCTTTGTAATTAGATCAAAATCTAAGCGAACTCGGTTGTGTTATAACTTACAAGTTCATAATTTCATATTGATCGTATAATGATTTTGTTTTGGTCGGTAAGGTTGGGAACTTGTCCTTTTAGTAACCCAACAATTTCTCCTCTTAGAATAGCAAATTCTGTTTTATCCTCGGAAACTTTTGCTCGAGTATTTATTCTCTTCATCTAAGCCAGTTTACATTTAAAGAATCATATACAGCTGTAAATAATAATGTTTTTCCCATTTTTTTTATTTAAAAAGAAAAGAATTAAGTAAAGCACCGAGATTTATTCTAGTTCGACTTTGACCACACATCCTCCTTTGTAATTAGGAATGACAAATAAATCTGTACAATAAATCTGTACAGGTATATAAATTTTTTCAAGAGTACGAGACGGATAACTCAATAAATATCGGCGAATGTAATAAATGAATATTTAGATATTTATTTTTTAATGTATATAGATACGAGTTTAATGATATCTGTGGCCGTATTCGTTAATAATGTATATAAATTATTTAAATATTATTAGTTTATTATACTGTCTTTTTGTCTTCTAAAAAATTAGTGTTTTCATATTTTTAAAGTCTCATCTTCTAAAAAAATTAGCGTTGTCATTTTTTTTTAAAGTTTTCTTTAAAGAAAATCTTTTACCTTTTCATATGAATTCGGTTGGTTATTTCATGTTTAATCTTCTTCTATATTTTTTATCCCACTTTAACTATTTTACTTATATGTCATCCGCTCTTATAATTCATAATCACTATATCTTTTCATTTATTTTGTTAAAAAATAAATATATGGATAATATGTTTGGATGTTATTATATTTTGATGAAAAAGAAAAAAATAAATGATGGAATTTTGTTGTTAAAATAAAAGCGAATTATATATAGATGTTATTGTCAATAGGTTTAATGACCTCAATTATGATAATTACTAATCAGAATAATTGTGCATAAATATGTATTATACTGCACTATTTGATTTATTGAATTATAATTAGTACCATTAATTAGCATAATAAACTATATATATATATATATATATATATATATATATATATATATATATATATATATATATATATATATATATATATATATATATATATATATATATATATATATATATATATATATATAAGAAATTGGTTGATTATCTAATAAATCAACAACTGACATGTATATATATATGTCAGTTGCTGATTTATTAGATTGAATCAATCAATTTCTTGTAATTTAACATGTATTTATATGAGAATTCTTGCGAGAGAGAATATATTTTTTCAGTCATAGAATCTGAGTTTGACATGACATCAGAGCATGTCACGATCCAAAATCTAGTCTCTATTCTCTAGTCTTGTCTCTTCGCTCCGACTTTTTCGGTCTTATTTTTTTCCTTGTGTTTTTTCTTCAAGATTTCCATCTCGTGTTTCCAATGTTCTTTGATTTAATGTCAAAAGAAAAACAAGATGTTTTCATGGTTCACATTAATGGAAAAAACTATTCAGCTTGGGAATTCCAATTCTCTTTATATGTTAAAGGAAAAGATTTATGGAGTCATGTTGATGAAACAACTCATGTCCCTAACAAAGACAAAGATAATGTTGAACATGCTAAATGGGTGCTCAAAGATGCTCAAATCATATCTTGGATCATTGGTTCGGTTGATCCGAACATTGTTCTAAACCTTCGACCTTACAAGACTGCAACAACAATGTGGGCTCACTTGAAGAAAATCTATAGTCAAAACAACGCAGCATGAAGATTCCAGCTTGAGCACGCCATGGCTAATCTCAAACAGGAAAGTCTCTCTATATCTGATTTCTACTCTCAATTCATGAATCTTTGGGCTGAATACAGTGATATAGTTTATTCAAATTTAAGTACCGAAGGCCTAAGTATAGTACAAACAAACCATGACACTACTAAACGAGATCAGTTTCTTATGAAATTGAGATACGATTTTGAAACTATCCACTCATATCTGATGCATAGAAACCCAATACCCTCATTGGATGAGTGTCTCAATGATTTATTACGTGAAGAACAACACTTGCTTACACAATCCATCATTGAAGAACAAAAATCATATACTGTCCCAATGACATATACATCACAAGGGAGGTCAAGAAACCATGATATGAGCAATATTCAATGCTTTTGTTACAAGTGCTCTGGATATTATGCCTTCAACTGTCCAAAAAACCCCTGCAATTACTGCAAAAAAAGATGGACACATTATTAAAGAATGCCCAACTAGGCCACCAAAGCAAAATGCAACAACCTTCACAAGTTCGATTGATTTGTCTAATGCTGTCCAACAAAATATGCGTACTACTGTCCAGACTTTGATCCCTGAAATGGTTCACCGAATGATCATTTCAACATTCTCTGCTTTGGGTTTCTCAGGTAAATCATCTTCGCCCTGGTACTTTGATTATGAGGCTTCAAACCACATGATCAACACAACTCATTTATTAATAATATCACCAAATATTCTGAAAATCTTAAGATATATATTGCTAATAGAAATCAATTACCTATCACAGCAACTGGTGAAATTTCTTCAACTTTAACCAATGTTTTTGTTTCTCCTAGTCTCACTAGTAATCTTATTTCTGTTTGTCAATTAGTTGAAAATGATTGTTAAGTACAATTCTCAAAGTCTGATTGTCTTGTGCAGGATCAACACTCAGGGACGATAATCGTGATGGGGCCTAAAGTTGGGCGTCTCTTTCCACTCAATTTATTTTTGTTTCCGAGTCTTTCTATACCTTCTATTTTGTGCAATGCTAAAATAATTGATTATCAAATATGGCATAGGCGTCTTGGGTATCCAAATATTAATGTACTCCATGACATACTAAAATATGTTTTTCTTGGAAATAAAAACATCCCATCTCTTGATTCTATTCATTTTGATTGCATTCCATGTAAGCTTGGCAAAAGTACAAATCTTCCTTTTCCAACACATCAACCGAATGTAACACAATCTTTTGATATTTTCCATAGCAATGTTTGGGGAGTGACATCAATTATATCTCATGCAAATTACAAATATTTTGCAATTTTTATTGATGATTATAGTCGTTTTACATGGGTCTATTTTCTGCGCTCAAAAGTTTAAGTTTTTTCCACTTTTAAATTTTTTAATGCTTATGTTCAGACCCAATTTTCATCCAAAACCAAAATACTTAGCTCTAACAATGGGGGAAAATACACATCAAACTATTTTCAAGAATTCTTGCAATCTAATGGGATTGTATCTCAAAGATCATGTCCCTTAACTCTCAAATAAAATGGGGTGGCTGAAAGAAAAAAAATCGTCATTTGCTTGATGTTGTCCGCACACTTTTAATTGAGTCTCATGTGCCACCACGATTATGGTGTGGAGCCCTATCCACATCAGTTCATCTTACAAACCACTTGCCATCCCCATCAATAAATAATGTATCTCCATTCAGCTGAGTATTTGGTAACCCACCATATTACTCCACTCTTCGTGTTTTCGGATGTGTGTGTTATGTCCACATTCCTCCATAAGAATGCACTAAACTCACAACACAATCAGTTGAATACGGATTTATTGGATATTCATCTCATCAAAAAGGATTTCTATGCTATGATCCTAATCTTCGTCAAATTCGGGTTTCTAGAAATGTCATTTTCTTTGAAAATAATTTTTTTTTGCAACCCATCACGATCTTCCTTCTTCTACATTTTCTGTTTTGCCACTATTTTCTAACTCTTATACAAATCAATCATCCTCTGAGCCCTAAATCAGCCAACTGACTTCCACGGGCCCCTTCGAGAAAGTTCCTCGACTGCTGATCCAACACAGGAACCAGAACTAGGCCCTATACGACACAATACGCACATCTGTCAGCCACCAAAAAGTATGGTTTCTCTAATCCCTTATCCTTGATAGCAACGTTGTCTTGTGTTCCTATCCCCTCTTCTTATAGACAGGCAATGAAGCATGGTTGTTGGCTGACAACTATTGAAAATGAACTTCGGGCCTTAGAAGAAAATCAAACATGGGACACTGTACCTTGTCCTCCAAATTTTAAACCAAAAGTTATGTTCAAATGGATCAATAGACCGTTACGAGGCTCATCTAGTAGTGCTTGGAAATAAGCAAGAGTATAGACTAGACTATGACGAAAATTTTGCTCCGGTCGCCAAGATGACTATTATCCGCACCATTCTTGCTCTTGCTGCATCATAATCTTAGCCACTACATCAAATGGATATGAAAAATGCATTCCTACACGATGATCTTAAGGAAGAAGTTTACATCAAAATTCCCAATGATATGCCCATTTCTTCCTCAAATATTGTTTGCAAACTAAAACAATCACTATATGGTTTAAAACAAACACCAAGAGTATGGTTTGAAAATTTTCGATCTACCTTACTTGGTTTTTCATTTATTCAAAGTCAATATGATCCATCACTTTTTCTACAAAGGACTTCTAAAGGAATTATGATGCTTCTTGTTTATGTGGATTATATTGTGGTGACTGGTTCTGGTCAGGAAGGCATCTCTAAAATCATACACATGTTGCATTCATCTTTTTACATGAAGGAATTATGACATCTTACTTACATCTTGGGGTTCAAGGTACATTATCAACCTGAAGGAATTTTTTAAATCAACAAAAGTACATTAAAGATCTAGTCCAACTTGCTGAACTCACAAGTAAAAATCCTATTGACACTCCCATGGAAGTTAATGTTAAATATCGACGAGATGAAGGCGACCTTCTTGATGATCCAACTCTTTGTCGCAAG